AAGGAGCAGAAATAATGTATGTTAAGTATTAAAACTAGCACTCAGCAGATGATAAAAGTTCAAGATGCTATCTACTATTACTAGGATCAGAAAACTAGAAGACATTATGGTAGTTTATGCAATGCTTAAGGTTTTATTCAATTTTTTTATTTTTGCTGTAAAATGTAGATTTAAAATCTACAAATCACCTGCATTTCCATTCACACTGTACCTTAAATCCTTTTCTCCAGTCTCACCAGAAGAGATGCTCCTCTTTTTGTTTAAGTTTGACTTTTCCTTGGACTACAGAACCATTTTGAAACAGAGCAAATATTTTGAAAGAAGGGTCAAACAAGACATGGAAATGGAATGGACAGGAAACTTTAAAAAGGGAAGCATCAAATATAGCTGTGTTAGACATAAACATGGGAACAGTAGACACTGTGGACTACTGGAGGAGGAAAGGAGGCAATGCGGTGTGGGTTGAAAAACTACTTGTTGGGTACTATGCTCACTACCTGGGTGCAACAGATCCCTGTAACAAATCTGCACATATACCTTCTGTATCTAAAATAAAAGTTGAAATTAAAAAAAAATATATATATATATATGGGCTGGCACAGTGGCTCATGCCTGTAACCCCAGCATTTTAGGAGGCTAAGGCAGGCAGATCATCTGAGCTCAGGAGTTCAAGACCAGCCTGGGCAACATGGCGAAACCATCTCTACTAAAAATACAAAAATTAGCCAGGCATGGTGGTGCAAGCCGATAGCTGCAGCTACTTGGGTGGCTGAGACGGGAGGATTGCTTGAGCCTGGGAGGCAGAGGTTGTAGTGAGCCAAGATCACACCATTGCACCCCAGCCTGGGTGACAGAGTGAGATCCTGTCACAAAAAAATAATATATATATGTGTGTGTGTGTGTGTGTGTGTGTGTGTGTGTGTGTGTGTGTGTCTGTGCACGCGCGCGCACATGCACGTGTGTGTTTGTGTTATGTTTACACACACAGATATATAATGATTTTAAAAGATAAGGAAATGAAAAAAACCAAGAAAACAAAGAATATATATACATATATTGCTGTGAGGTTCTGGGCTTAGTAAATGGGAAGGGAAGGGGTATTGACAGAAACCAGAAGCTTGACTGAGAGATAGATCTGTGTGTGAAGGAAGGCAGGATGAGTTTGGGATACATTGAATAAAAAGTTATAGCAGGATAACAGGAAAAGTGATACAGCCTGATATGAAGCAGAAGATAATGTGGCTAGAATTGGCTTAAAGATCAAGACTCAAGATGTAAATGCATGAGTCATAGGAAGAGTGAGAGAGTTGCCCTAACATGTTTCCTGTCAAAGAGCAAATGATAATTAGTATAAATATTACATTTAAAAAAAAAAACCACAGTAAGCTTCAGGCATATAAAGAAGAGAATAATTCAGAAATCATTTCATTGCTGTCACTTGATACTAGTTAATCATACTTCATGGGAATGATTCAGCGGGTTGGTGGTGGAAGGAATGTTTTCTGTCTGACAGACTGACTCCAATGATCCAAGCAGACACACTGTCTTTCGGAAACCTAAGTAACCTGAGTTGCAACCAACAAAAACTACTTTTTTGTAAATAAGAGAGAAAACTTTATTTTTTTTTAACTGAAGGATTGCCACTACAAGAAAGGAAAACTTGGTAACTGAGTTTTATATCATGGTTTGTCCAGAAAGGCCACACAGCTATTAAATCATGAAATAGACCAGGCGTGGTGGCTTACACCTGTAATCCCAGCAGTTTCAGAGGTCAAAGTGAGTGGATCAGGAGATCAAGACCATCCTGCCTAGCATGGTGAAACCTGTCTCTACAAAAACCACAAAAATTAGCTTGGTGTAGTGGTGCATACCTGTAATCCCAGCTACTAGGGAGGCTGAGGCAGGAGAATCACTTGAACCTGGAAGGTGGAGATTTCAGTGAGCTGAGATGGTGCCACTGCACTCCAGCCTGGTGAAAGAGTGAGACTCTGTCTCAAAATAAACAAACAATTAAAATCATGAAATATTACAACACTGTGTTATGAAGTAATACATTTGCTGTTCTGGTTTGTAGCTGTTACTAACCCATAAACGAAGTCCTATAATGAAACTTTGTTCTGCTTCATCTTATATTTGTTGTTAAAGTAATATAACCTCCAAAAAAACTTATCCTTGAGTACTGTGGGCACTCACCCAAGTATCTGCAAATGATAAAATCTATACTTTGTCTGGAGACAAGAGTGAAAGCCCTAGAAGGAGGTTTAATACTTTATTAATACTTATCATACTTTATATATTACAGAATACTCTAATTCCAAAAGAATTCAGAATTCCCTGTATGAAATGCCTAAAATAATCACATTGTTGAAAAAAGTTGTGGAATAACTTTGACTATATCTCATTTATAATTTTCAAATAATGACCACACTTACAACAGGAATATTTTTAAAATCATAAAGCCCAGTGAGGAAAAAGAAAGCTTTTTTTTTTTTTTAGTAAATTAATGTTTATCAAATGACAAATATGAGACATCCTTCATGAGGCTATTTTCAAATTTACAATATTCATTTCTTCTACTGTCTCAATCTCTAGCTGAATCAATGTTGTGCAACCGAGAAAGGAAGAGATAACCTGATCTTTGGATTAAGAGAATACTCCAGTTAAAAGGGTTTAGCAAACATTCAAAAACACTCCATGCTAAAGTTAAATTATGTAAACCAATTACAAGATAGAAAGGATTCCAAATCTTGCATTACTTGAGCACAACATAGATTGAAAAGGACACATATAACATTTTAACGTACATTAAATGTGACATAAACTGTTTATTTAAAAATTTTATTTTTAAGAAATTTATTTATTTAACTTTAGGTGCATACTATATCTGGCATTTCTCCCCATGTTATCCCTCCCCACCCCCTGCTGTCTCTCCCCTACCGCCCCCCAACTGCCCCCAGTACATGATGTTCCTCTCCGAGTCTACGTGTTCTTATTGTTCAACACCCAGCTATGAGTGAGAACATGCGGTGTTTGGCTTTCCGTTCTTGTAAATGTGACACTAACTGTTTATTAGCAGCATAATGGGTGACACAAAACCTCGGAAGATAAATTCGGGAAATTTAGAATCAGGAAATTTCTAGAGAAACTTCTAAAGGAATTCAAATTCTAGATAATGTGATTATCTTCTTACATGTGAGAGAAAATAGACCTAGAGAAGGTAAGAGACTCTCAAGATAACACACTATACTGTAGACTCTAGAATTAGAACACAGGTAATCTGACAATTATATCAGTGTGTGCTATACTCTCTAGTATCTGTACCTCAGTAGATGCCATAAATTTTATTTCCTACGTTTTTTTTTTTTTTTTTTTGGTATCGTACTAGGTTTTTTTTTGAGATGGAGTCTCACTCTGTTGCCCAGGCTGGAGTGCAGTGGCATGATCTCTTTTTGTGCTTTTAAGTTCCAGCTGTGTCTTAGGAGAATATAGTAAACAACCAACTATTTGCATTTCCACATCCACGCATCCCTAAAACACACAGTGTGCCAAGATTCTTTCTCTGTTCCTTGTTCTTTTTATTCAAATCACATTCTTAACTCATCTGCTATGTGCCAGGCAGTGTGCTAATCTTGGAAGACACCAACATGAATGAAAAATAACTTGGGTGGAGTGTTTGCATTGTTACCCTATAATGTAATGTGTATAGTGCAGAGATAAATGCACAGGGAGCTACTGGAGCTCAGAAGAAGCATGAATCCAACTTTGGGAAGAGGTCATGAGTCAGGAAAAACTTTTCGGAGAAAACAATTCCAGAGAGTTGAAGTGGAGTATCTTGTGGTGGCGGTTGGGAGGAGTAAAGGGAAAAAGATTGCTTGAACAAAGGCTATACAGTAAGAAACTGGTCTTTGTGCTGAACTAAAACCAAGACTTCTGTGCCACTGGTTGGGGAAGTGAGGCTGCACAAGTTGACAAGCATCATGGCGCGCCTTCTAAAAAAAGTCAAATCAGCTCAACCATTATACATATATTTTTATTGCTTATGTTTGCCAAATACTGTGCTAGTTACTGAGGGATATAATGAAGGTTAAGGGTCACTCTAAACTCTCAGTTTGCAATCTAGTAGGGGTAGACAGGAGGAAAAAAAAAGTTCTATTAAAGAGTTAAAATTGGAGTAGGTACAGGGTTGTCTGGGAACCCAGAAGAGGTGCACTCAACTAACCTAGAGATTTAGGGAAGACTTCCTGGTAAGTATCTATTGACAGAAGAACATAAAATAATCTCTTAAAGAAATAAGCAAATTTACCTGGGTGCGGTGGCTCACCCCTGTAATCCCGGGACTTTGGGAGGCCGAGGCAGGCAGATCACTTGAGGTCAAGTGTTCGAGATCAGCCTGGCCAACATCGCGAAACCCCGTATCTACTAAAAATACAAAAATTAGCTGGGCGTGATGGCAGGAACCTGTAATCCCAGCTACTCGGTAGGCAGAGACACCAGAATCGCTTGAACCCTGGAGGCAGAGGTTGCAGGGAGCCGAGATCAGGCCACTGCACTCCAGCCTGGGCAATAGAGCAACACTGTCTCAAAACAACAACAAAAAAACCGGTACAAAGACAAAAAGCAGTGGTTAAAGTATATATTCAAAACATGTCCCCCAAATGGCCTAGGTTACAAGACAGCACCATTACTTCCAAATGAATGCACAAAGCTTTCTCCTTCTAATTCATTCTTATTGTGGTAAAATATACATAACATAAAATTTACCATTTTAACCATTTTTAAGTGCACAGTTCAGTAGCATTAAGTCCATTCATTGTTGTGCAACCAACACCACTATCGATCCTAGATTCTTTTTCAACACAAGAATCGTGGCCAAGATTTTCTTTTCATTAACTCAGCTTTAGCAACATACTGAACTTTATCCACCACAAAAGTTTCTGCCGGATAAGGTTCAGAAACAGGGAAGAGTGAAATAAATCGATGAACTACTATCTTTCGTGGACTTCTGTTAATGGAATATAACAGCGAAAGGGTTCACTTCATCAGCCCCCTCCCGGCCTTTTGGGCTTCATAAACCGAGAAACAACCAGATCAGCACCCACACCACCCAAGATGCAAGGACTAGGTCCCGAAAGGCAGCTGTCCCGCCTCAGCGCAGAATCCCTGTAGCCGCCTTTCCTAATGCACAAATCGACTAGCGCAGGAACCGGGCTGTCTACCGGGGACTGCACGGAGGAGCTTAAGAGAGAAAAGGAGAAAGAGCATTATGAGAAAAACAGCTAAAGTTTTGGAACTCCTTCTTTTTGCCCTCTTCTTGCTCCCTATTCTTTGTCCACCTCCAAGCTCCATCCCTTAAACCCACAGCCGAGCCCCTTTTCTTGGACGCGCGCTTTTTATTGACGCAAACCTCCCGTTCTCGCGGGAACTTGGGAACGGGAGCCGGGTAGGGCGGACAAATCTCTCTAAATCTCAGTTACCGCTGGAGCTGGAGGGGCCACTGAAGCTCCTGAAGGGCGGGGCACGGAGCTTGAAGGGGCGGGGCTTAGCCTTAGAGAGGGGAGGGAAGAGGCGGGAGGAGGAGGTGAGAGAGGCCGGGGGCGGGGCCGCTCGGCCGGGGACCTGTTGATCGCAGGTATCGCCGGCTGGCCCGGGCTCCCTCGGGACTGGGGCAACTGCGCATGCTCGCTGGCCGCGCTGAGCCAGTAGCCGAGCGGCGGTGACGAACCGGCTCCGCCGTTGCGGTGTTTGCGGTTGCTGTGATGGCGATGTGAGGGGGCCCGGGGCGGGATGGTGCTGACCCGGGTAGGGTCGTCATCTTCCAGCTGGACAACGAGCTTCTCGGTCCGACAGGCAGGGGAAGAGGCCGAGCAGGGCGAGAGGTAACCCCCTAACTGTCTCCTCAGCTCCCGCAGCTCCCGACACCCACCCACGACCCCTCCCTCTGTCCCTCTTTCCCAGGGGCCCGGCAGGAAGCGGCCTCCTCCTCGTCCGCCGCCTGCCAGCTGCGGCCCCTCACCCGACTGCTGGCTGTCGGAGCCTGGCCCCGGCCCCGCTGAAGGTCGGTGGGGACGGCGGTGCCGAGCGCTCTGAAGGAAGCTAGGGGCCTCGGCGCGCTGCTCTCCCGGTGCCCGCGGCCGCCCCTGCCCCTGCGCGCGTCCCTCGACCCGCTCTTCCTGAACCTCGCGCCTGGCGAGCCTTCGCCTGCCCTTCACCCCTGCTCAATCTTCGTCACTCTGTCCCTCCTTTACCAGCTTTCGTAGTTCTGCATTTTCATCCCTTGCCTCCCACGTGCCTTTTCGCCCGGGTGGTCCCACGTTGGGAAGCAGCGTATCTCTGTGCTACCCTCCGTGGACTGGCTTTTCCCTGTCCGGAGCTCCTTACTCTGGCCGACTAGGTTTCTCACTCTTATTACTTCCATAATTTCTTCCTTGGCTTTATCTTCCTCTCATTCACCTCCTTTTGGTATTTCCTCCTGGTTCCGTTTTTGTTAGTTGCAAAATTTTTGCTTTAGCATCGCTTTGCCCCATCTTACCTTCGGAAACCCTCACTCCCTTCGCTTTCCTGTGGTACCCTGCTTCATTGCTTTTTGTCTAATGGCCCCTGTCCTCCCGTCTTTTTCCATCCTGGACGCAGTGAGGCTCTAATTTTAATTTTTACCCCTCTAAAACTCTTCCCTCTCCTCCCCGTTTGTAAGTCAAGCCTCTTAACTTCATTCCTTTTGTTTTACTTTTTATTAAATCTCTGAAGACTTCTTTCTGACATACCCTTCTAGTCCTTAACTGCTTTCTGCCTCAGCTAGGTATCCACTCAGTGTTTCTAATTCATCTTCCAGTTTAATAACATTCCTTTTCTTTACTGGTTGGAAGTATCATCAAAAGAGTGACAGTAGGACTAAATCGGTTACACTTATTGATTAAAGCTTTAATTTTTAAGAATTATGTTTACCTGACATACCTGGAAAAGCAACTTGAGTACAGACTTTATGAAACTATAACGGGTTAAGACTTGTCCTACAAACATACACTTAAAATTTGGAAATTTACTTGTCCTCTTTGGAAATTTAGTTGTCCTCCATTAGGTGTAGCTGTCCAAGAACTTATCTTAAATGAAATTTAACAGAATTTCTTTTATAAAATGTATTATTAATTTGTTTTATACATTTGGTATTGCAGTTGATAGCATAATTTTCCTGAGAGTCTCTGTTCTCTAATAAATGCATACAATTTCTGCTGCCTGTAGAATTAGTGTGTTTACAGGACACATACGTGAGAAGTATTAAATTTTTTAATTGAGCAAAAGAACTTTCTAAACAGTTTTGTAATTTTTTTCCTCCATTGCATTGTGTTCAAGATTTGGCTTACATAAAACTTATCTTTCCATAAGTAATGGTATAGTATCTTATTTTGAAGGCATCTGCTGAAGCCTTCAGTGTTTAGTGAAGTTTGCCTTTATTGTAGGATTGAAGATCAACTGGATTGTGTATTTCGTTCTGGAATCTCAAAGCAGTCCACAAACAGTAAATTCTTCCTTATGTTGTCTGTGTCAGGTAGGAATTAAGTTTTCTTTTTCTGTTTTAAGAAGGGAAATACCAAGGCAAAAAAAGTGTAGTTCTTTATTCAAAGTGATTTAAAGCAAAACTAGGAGGCTCTGGTGTCATCAAATCACACTTTTAGAAGAACTAGCAATTACTGTGTATGTTGAGAGGTGATGCACTCATCAGCTTTTAAGATTTTTTTTTTTTAATGATTTTTCAAATGCAAATAGAGATAACCACTGCTTCTCAAGGAAGTTTGCACTTCCTTCACAGGCAGGTCTTTTTATTTTTAGGCAAACATTCACTTAAAAAAGTAAATGCCTACAAATTCTTGCTGGCAATTTTAGTGAGTTGATTCCTGTGCTCTTAGAAATTAAATGAGGATTCGTGGTGGACAGCAGGCAGAAGACTAGAATTTCTAGTCAGAAGATGTGAGCTCTTATGATGACTCATGACATTAGTTTGTAAAACCCACTTAACCTGTGTATTCAGTGTCTCCAAAGTGTGGATAATAAAGTTGGCCTCCCAGTATACTCTCTCAATAGCAAAGCAAGCCCTAATCATTTAAACATGCTTTGGGCCACCAAGACAAAAATTGCTGTATAAATACTTAGTTTTTAATCTCTTTAATTTTAGACTATGTAGTAAGAGTATAATTGACTGCTTAAATCCCAGATCAAACAGATTTCTTTTTTAAATTTCAGACTTCTGTGAAAAGTCTAGTAGAATGCTAGTGAACTGTGGACTAGCATTCTACTAGACATTTCTAATGTACTAGAGTTTTCTAATTAGCACATTAACTAATGTTCATACACAGTGAAACAGACACTGTAGCATTCAGTATGTAAAACAGATATACCCTTTGTTTGCTGTGAGTTGACAGGAAATTTAAGAGTTGCATATATATCTTTAGTTACAACCATAATTTTCTGTTTTATATTTTTATTTTGTTTACATCAAATAAAACTTTATTTTGTTTACATTAAATCCTTGTTTTGGGGGCTGTTTAGGGGATAGAAAAGGCAAAGGATTTCCTTTGCTTTGATTCCGGGTATTGAAGAAAAACTACTTAACAGTGAGTTTTTTGATATGTACGTGTGTGCATTTAAATAAATGGATGGAGATGAGGGCATATAGATTTGAAGTGTTTTTTTCATGAGTTGTTTGTCAGGAAGAAGGTTTAGGAATAAGGCGGGGTGTCGTGTCCCATCCCTGTAATCCTAGCACTTGGGAGGCTGAGGCAGGAGGATTGCTTGAGGCCAGGAGTTCAAGACCAGCCTGGGCAACAGAGCGAGACCCTGTCTTAATTAAAAGAAAGAAAGAAATGACAATAAGAAGCAGAATGATGATATAGCAGAAAGCATTCTTAATGGACTCAATGATTTTTCAGACAAGTTGCAAAGCGCAAGTGATTAGGGAGGTCTAGGTTTTTCAGAAGGAATAAAGTAAAACAATCCACAGTAGGTTTCACATTTTATTTTTAAAGATTGGCAGTTGTTAATAGATACATGCTTGGTTATTGATGATATGCTAAATTTAAAATAAATCTTGGCCTCTTTTTTGTTAACAGAAATGTAAAAGTATCAGGCACATTATACCATTAAGAGACATCTCCTACTTGAGTAACCCTTTAGGTAGTTCTTATTTTGATGAAAAAAAATTGATGAACTATCTCTCAACCAAGAAACCATTCTGAGAAAATTATAGCATATTTCCTTTTATGGCATTAAGTCTCTATCAGATCATCCAGAATATAGAACATATTTCTAAATTATGTTGTGAATATATTGGTAATAGTCTGGGACTTTTTTTTTAGACAGAGTCCCTCTGTGTTGCCCAGGCTGGAGTGCAGTGGCACGATCTCAGCTTACTGCAGCCTCTGTCTCCTGGGTTTAAGCAATTCTTATGCCTCAGCCTCCCAAGTAGCTGGGCTTACAGGCCCAGACCACCACACCTTGCCGATTTTTTAATTTTTGGTAGAAACCCCATCTGGTCTCACCATGTTGACCAGGCTGGTCTCGAACTCCTGGCCTCAAATGATTTGCCCACCTCGGCCGCCCAAAGTGCTGGGATTACAGGCATGAACCAGTATGCCTGGCTATAGTCTGGGACATTTCTTTTAAGTGTTATGAAATGTTCTTTTGCTGCAGGTCTTAATTTAACCTGTACTAGAACAAGTATTCCTTTATTGAAATGCCCTTGAAGTTGCCTATAGGATGCAGCTGTTTCATTCATGATTGTTTTTAGAGCAGTGGTAACTATGACACTTGCTCTTTGATGTTTTCAGATTGCCAGCAATTCGTGGGCTTACATTGAAAATGCTGCTTTCTATAAATGTCTAAGCAGCAAGGCCAGGCTTTATTGGCAATAAAAAATGTAAGACTGTGGAAACCTTTATGTCCTTTACCATTACTTTTATGTTTTGGAATTGAGAATCCCAGGTTTTTAAAACACCCTCAGGTTTACTATATTTGGTATCATCAACAGAGAAACATTAAAACATAGTTTGTCTCATGTTCTAAAAAGTTATTCTTATTGTCTTTCCTTTGGAAGATGTCCTTTCTCACCATTTCCACCAAAGAGAAAAATTTAGTGTTCTATTGTTTTCTTAAGTATTTCTGTAATCAGTGTAATATGGCATATGGTTGGCCCTCAGGAGTTCATTTTGATGAGTGAGGAGTGGCTACGAAAGTTACTAGACAAGGGATTTTTCTTACCTTGTGTGTCTTTTACTGTAATGCCTCTGATAAGCTCAGCTTTGCTATGAATTACTTTTTAAAATGATATATATTTGTGATGAAAGTTGTATATGATTGTACGGCAAGATAAGGTCATGAGTAATGATGATCTTCAGAGTGAGGCAAGTGACAGCTGGCTTGGTCATTTCATTTTATTTTATTTTTCTTTTCTTTTATTTATTTATTTATTTATTTGAGATGGAGTCTTGCTCTGTTACCCAGGCTGGAGTGCAATGGTGCGATCTCAGCTCACTGCAACCTCCACCTCCCAGGTTCAAGTGATTCTTCTGCCTCAGCTTCATGAGTAGCTGGGTTTACAGGCGTGTGCCACCAAGTACAGCTAATTTTTGTATTTTTAGTGGAGACAGGATTTTGTTGTATTGGCCAGGCTGGTCTCAAACTGCCGACCCCAGGTGATTCACCCACTCAGCCTCCCAAATTGCTGGGATTACAGGCGTGAGCCACTGCACCTGGCCTGGCTTGGTCCTTTTAAAGCAGGGATATAATCCAGTGACTGAGCATGTTTAGCCCCTGCCAGAGGGAGCTTACAAATATGGGCAGGATGTCAGGGCCTCAGCGAATCAAAAAGAACACTGAATGTAAATCAAGAAATAAGAATGTAACTCAGATAGTCAGACTGAACCAAACCAATGCAGACCTACCAACTCAGGTGGCCAGAATTAACACCAGATAGAAGGTTTAGGGATGCAAAACTCATCCACATGTCAGTGGCTGATTGTTTGCAGTTTACTGCTGTGTGGTCTGACTTGGTCAAGATTAGCTCAAAGACTAGGGCCAGAGCTTATATTGATTGAAATTCTGTAGGTGACTGGGATTTAGGAAAGATGGCAGCTGGGTGTAACTTC